AAATTTTAATGGCCCGTTGGCAAATAAGGTGCCAAATGTGCCAACCTGGTAACCATCACCTAACTTGATAAAAATTTACCAAGATGAAGTTAAAATGACAATTTTTAATATAAAGACATCCGAAAGCCATTAGAAACAACCAATATCATTTGACAATAAAATAATACATTGGTTTGTATTATCGGACTGTGATAGAAGTTGTTTGGAGAAAAGATTATCAGATTTTTCCATTCGGTTCTAGGGGTATTAGTATGGGACCAGTGGGATGATTGTGGGGCTCTTGGGTTTATTTCCTTTTTGGGTGATGCTTTATCACCTTCCTAAGATATTCTATTTTCAAATGAATTTTATCTTATTTTTCAAAAAAATGATATCTTAATGGCCCATTGGCAGAGACGGGGCCAAATGTGCCAACCTGGTAAGCATCATCTAACTTGGTAAAACTTTACCAGGATAGAATTAAAATGACAATTTGAAATATAAAGGCATGCAAAAGCCATAGAAAAGAAGCAATATCATGTGACAATAAAAGAATATTTCAGTTTATTTTTTGGGCTGTGATAGAGGTTGTTTAGAGAAAAGATGATAAGATTTTGCCTTTCGGTTCTACGGGTATTAGTATGGGATCTGTGAGATTAATGTTGGGCTTTTAGAATTATTACCTCTTTGGGTGATGGCTTATCACCGTCCTAATATTTTTTTTTCCTAATGAATTTTATCTTTTTCTTCAACAAAAAAAAATCTTAATGGCCCCTTGGCAAATATGGTGCCAAATGTGCCAACCTGTTAACCATCTACTAACTTGGTAAAAATTTACCAAGATGGAGTTAAAATGACAATTTTTAATATAAAGACATCCGAAAGCCATTGCAAACAACCAATATCATTTGACAATAAAATAATACCTTGGTTTGTATTATTAGACTGTGATAGTGGTTGTTTGGAGAAAAGATTATCAGATTTTGTCATTCGGTTTAGGGGTATTAGTATGGGACCAGTGGGATCAAAGTTGGGCGATGCCTTATCACCTTGTTAATGTGTTCTTTTTCTTAATGAATTTTATCTTATTCTTCAAAATAAATCTTAATGGCCCCTTGGCAAATGTAGGGCAAAATGTGCCAACTTAGTAAGCATCATCTAACTTGGTAAAAAATTACCAAGATGCAATTAAAATGACAATTTTTAACATAAGGAGCTGCAAAATCCATTGCAAACAAGCAATATTAGTTGGCAATAAAGGACTATCTCAGTTTGTTTTATTAGACTGTGATAAAGGTTATTTGGAGAAAAGATTATAACATTTTGTCATTCGGTTCTACTAGTATTAGTATGAGATCTGTGAGATCAAAGTTGGGCTCTTGTGTTTATCTCCACTTTTGGTGATGCTTTATCACCTTCCTAATGTATTCTTTTTCCAAATGAATTTTATCTTATTTTTCAAAAAAAAAAATATCTTAATGGCCCATTGGCAGATATGGGCCAAATGTGCTAACCCAGTAACCATCATCTAGGATATTATTTCATTTACTTTGTAGAAAATCTAGCTCCAAGAAATGATTGAACTTAAGAGTTGCTGCTTAGTCCAAGCCATTGAATATATTTGTATGAGGGGACCATTGGCGGTGCAATGATAATGTCCTGGAATGCCAAACAAGAGAATGTTGGCTTCAGTCTTGTCCAAAACTGCCAAAGCTTAGGACTTAATTCTGGAATGCCAATCATTGGGATCATTGTAAGGTAAAGTCCTTTTATTGGATGGTTGGATAAGAACTTATGTCTGGAATACGAAAACCAGGATTCAATTCAGTGTAATATACACTGCAGTACTCTCCCTTATTTAGTTCTCTGTATCCCATGGGGATGGTAAGGTTTGGGTTGAGGAGATTCTTAACATTGGTATTTCATCAGTCACATATCTCAATTTTCTGGATTTTCATGTTAATGTGTCTTCAATCTCAATCTGTAACTTATCTTCATTTGCCTCACACTCTTTGGTTGTGGTTTTGAAATGACAATAGGTTATGAATGGTGTGATTTGTTTGTTTTTTTTTTCCACTGATTTGCTTTGTTCCACAGTTACTGCCTATTTGTTATAAATTTATTTTTATCATAAATTTCTTTTCCTCTATTCAAAACATGTTTGTTTGCTTTATTCCATGCTTATTGTTGTCAATTTGTTGTCATTCATTTTAATTACTATTTTAATTTTAGCCAGAATTACTATTTTAATTCTCACCTTAGGTAAACAAATTCAGGTTTCTTTGATTTGAGGACATTCAACTTACAAATTAGTGTTTCTCATTAACTCAATTTGGCTCTTTATAAGAAGAATTTGAATAGCATGCTGAGAAGGCAAACACCCTCCTAGACTCTACAACAAAACAATATGTGATTATTAATGTTTGATATGAGTGATTATCACTAAACTATCATCTTAATTTTGGAGAGACATTTTCATAACCAAAGTAAATTGACCTTCCATAGAAGAAATTTTACAAACACACACTTGCTTGATCTTATTTTCCATGTGTAAACTAATGTACACTCGTTCTCCAATGCACATTCAACAGGAATGAATCAGCATCAAACACAACTTAACAAAAATTTGTATATAAAAACGGCAATCTATTTACTGTGATAGAAATTCAAAGAGAACCAAAAATCAAATTTATTTGAAAGGACTTTTTGATTGACTATAACAAATTAAACTATCATACAAAGAAATTGTCAAATACCTGTTAGTGGCACAAATGTTCAAAATGATAACTTCCTCCGGTTAGGGAAGGCCTCAATGTATTGGCCAAAACTTTAGTCTAATGGATAAGGCAAACAAAATGATGGAGCAGTGACAAATGTTGCGCAAGAAACAAAAACGGTTAAGATGGGCCTTCACCTGGTATATATTGAGATAGGAATAGAAGTGAAAAAAGCAACAATGCTACCTGAAAATTTGCAGGTAAAGGGACAACGAGACAGAGGGAGAGTAGGAGAGCGATAGATGGGGAGGGAGACCGGGAGAGAGAGAGAGAATGGGGGCGAGACAGAGGGAGAACGGGAGAGAGTTATAGAGTGAGAACGAGGAGGGAGACCAGGAGAGAGGGAGAGGGAGACAGAGGGAGAATGAGAGAAAGTGATAGCGAGAGGGAGGGAAAGCAGGAGAGAGGGAGAGAGACTGATAGAGGGAGAGGGTGAGGGCACAACAAAGGGAGAGCAGGACTGAGGGGGGCGAGGGAGGAGAAAATGAGAGTGTGAAAAAGGGATAGTGAGAACAGGAGAAAGTGGGGGCGATAGAGGGAGAGGGACAACGAGATAGAGGGAGAGCAGGAGAGCGATAGAGGGGAAGGGAACCGGGAGAGAGAGAGAGAGAGAGAATGGGGGCAAGATAGAGGGAGAACAGGAGAAAGTGATAGCGAGAGGGAGGGAGAGCAGGAGAGAGGGAGAGAGAGAGAACGGTAGAAAGCGAGAGCGAGAGAGACTGATAGAGGGAGAGGGTGAGGACGCAACAAAGGGATAGCGAGAACGGAAGAAAGTGAGAGCAAGAGAGACTGAGAATTGGAGACAGGGGGAGCGAAGGAGGAGAAAATGAGAGTGAGAACGAGGGGCGCCACTGGAGAGGAGAACTTGCAGTTGCAAGGAAGCAGCCGAAGAGAAGAGAGCTGAGACTGTGAGAACAACGAAAGATAGTGAGAGAGGAGGGAGAGCAGCCGAAGTTCAGTCGTCGAGGGAAAAGTTGTAGTCGAAGAGAAGAGAGTTGAGAGTGTGAGAGAACGAAAGAGAGAGAATAGGGAGGGCGGGAGAGAACAATGGCCGTGGGCCCTAATAGGATCATTTTAGTCTTTGCAATTTAAGGGTAAATTTCAAAATAAATATTATTGTAACATGTAATCCGAATTGGATTGCCACCTCACAGGAAAAGCATAGGTAGAAGTGTGACGCTTACATGGCGTGAGAGTCAGTCTTATAATTTCAAAAGTTGAATTCGATAGTCATTGTAAATTCTGTATGGGCTGGCCTGGTGTTCAGATTTCTGCAATGGGCCTGTTTGTACTTTTCCCTTTTTCTTTCCTATTTCCGTACTTTCTATATCCACTCAGTCACAGGTCTCTAAGGAAAGTCCCTTCCCGAGGAACCAAGTAAAGGTTCGGCATTAAAAAACAAAAATAACACTGAATGCAGCTGCAGCAGCAGCAGCAGCAGCGTGGAGAATCATATTTTAGCTTTGTTTGGGAACCAATATCGAATCCAATCAACAAGAATGGCACTATGGAACTTGAAAGCATCTCTCGGCTATTGGAAACAGTTTTGGTGTACGTTTGAAACGGTTTGATCTTTGATGCCCCCAAAGTTGATCGTTATTGCAACCCATGTTGGAACTTGGGAGTTGGAGGTCTATATTTGATCAAGGATCTCGTTACTAGTTAGTCCGTTCTGGCTGCTGGGTCTAAGATATCAATCCAACAATAGGCGTCAAGATACATAAATAAACTGAACAGTGAACACTGTGAATCTGATTGCAAGCCTTCAGGTTTCTGGACGCACGTCATTAATTGAAGTTAACCAAAATAACTAATTACCTTTATTCATATGGACAATATAGGTGGGTAGCCCACAGGCCATAGTGATGGTAGTTAACCCTTAACCATAACCCAAGGAAGGTCCAGTTCCAGATCAAGGTCCAGGCCTACCAAAGGTACCTCGGAGTCACTGTCATGGGCAAACCAGAAAGTTGCCCATGCCCAGGTCACAGATTCGGCACTTCAACTGGGTGGTTCACCCGATTGTGCAGTTATTAGTCAACAACTCAACACTGCCAAAATAAGAGCAGGGCTCAAGTAGCTGCCCAGGTCAGTTGCTACTGGTTCGACAATCCGGGTCAGGAATGGTCTGAGAACATCGATGATGACTTTGATTTCTACCCATGAAATTTGGCTACTTTGAAGTTGTACCACCATGTATATTGCCATGTTCCCATACCCAAAATAAATAACAGAAGAAATAAGTAGAGAAACAATCTAATACATATCAACTTGCATTTTGTTTTTATTTTTCTTCTTGATAAATATCAAAAGTTACAACAAATTTTATCTCCATTAAACACCAAGTTCCCTAGTAATGATCACTTTGGTTGTAGAAGAGTTCAGTTCAGAGAGAATGAAGCCTGTCATGGTATAAGCTGGGTGGTAGAGCTCGGTCCCTGGTATCAAGTGCCCTCTGCGGTTCCCAGTTCCCAGTAAGCACGAGATTTGGCTTGATTATAGGAGATTTCTGTAGGGTCATAATTTGCTAGGAAGAAGCTTATTAGAAACCTTTTCTACTCTGACAAGCTTATTCGGCCTTGGAAAAGCCTCGGTGCGTTGTTCAGCAAGAAACTTGGCAAAACGAGAACCCTTTCCTCCCTTGTTCTCTGGTGGCTGAAATTCTGGCAGATGAGGAAATTGGGGCCTCACCTTGGGAGAGAGAGGTGGCATCAATGCCCATACAGCAGAAAGATTTTCGTTTGGTTTATCCAGATTCTCTAAGATTGATAAATCCTGCATGTCTGGAAGATTTTGATTTGGTTTACCCAGATTCGCTGTAAGATTTATCATTAACCATAATAATGTTAAGGCAATGTATGTTGGGGGGAAGAACTGACCCTTTGAGAACTTGAAGATGGGCTCAAGAGCTGCACATGGTATGCTGAAGTTTAGGTGGGGTATGACTGTTCCTCCACTGTGCCTTGCATTGCTGCACCAAAGAAAATAACTCATTGGTTATGGAGGTTGAGTTGGAAAATGCAGAATATATTAAAATATAGGAATACCTTTGAAATTTTGACAAGATAAGGATCAAGTTCATTCAGAGAATATTTCTGAAAACAGAATGCCAAAATGCATTACATCATCTAAGCAATAAAATCTTTTTGTGTCAAGGCAGGTGCAAAAAATGTCTATGCTAGTTTCTAACTCTAATGTGATAAAATGGAACCATTATGTATATGGTAACCAAGAATAGAGTATAATTGGCTTGTAACATTTGCAGATGCCAACTTGTTAATTTGGTCAAGTCCATGGAGCTTAATACCATAAACCTGGGTTCAAAACTGTCTCCACCTTCAACCAACCGATAACCAACCTACTTGTCAAACAAAACACACACACAAAAAAAAGATGAACACACAAAGAGGTAAAACAAAAAAATGGAAACATTTATGACAATTTCAAGTAAGTGAATTCTCCCAAGATGAAAATAATTTATTTACTTTTACAGGGATTTTAGTTGCTGGCTCCAGTGACACCTTTTTCAGGACTGCCATATTTTATTTGGGACTTAAACCTCAACAGGCAACTACAAAATATGAACATGACAATTGACAACTAACATGATTTATTAATTTTCACAAGACAATGTTTGCTGTCAAATGATTGTTGCTCAGCAGTACCTTGTTACAAGTCCAATCATATGACCATCTGAATTGACAACAGCACCACCACTACCACCAGGATGCACAGAGGCAGTAGTTTCAAGCATAACTGGTACCTCTTTTGGTGCATTATGGTGCATTGTTGCTATGCTGTTTGGTAGATTTGATTCACAGGAATGGAGAGGAATCTCTGCTTTGACAACCCGTGCAACTACACCAGAGCAAACAGATGGATAGATGTCTGAGACAAAAGAAGGAAGAAATAGTAAGCAACTCAGAAGAAATCTTCAGATTTATTTGATTTGTAAAATAGAACATAAATGAAAGGTCTGCAAGTTCCTTACCACACCGTGGTCCAAAGAGTCCATGTCCAATAACATGTGCTTCTGATCCTGGAGATGGGCATGTAAAGTCTGGAACCATAGGGCATAGTTGAGTTGGAACAGACTCCAGCTGCAGCAAGGCAATGTCTAAGGGTCCTTTAGAAACATACACTACCCTAGCATCACACCACATCCATGTGTCCATATGATCCAGGCGGGCACGTATTCTTCTATACCTCTTGTAAATTGAACTCAACTTATATTCACTATACTTGTCACCCACAGAAGCATCTGAAATCTTCACTGTCTCCAGCCCATCACAATTTTCATGCCAAGTAGCCATCGATCTGTTAGAGGACATAAGCAGTGCTGCTGATGGGTTTCCATCTTTATGACCCCTAACAGATCTTTTAGCAAATCTCCATGGCTCCAAAAGATGAGCATTTGTGAGTATCAGTCCATGATTGTTTAGCAAGACACCTGACGCCCAAGCCCCATCATCTATGGTAATAAGAGCAATAGAAGGCATCGCCTTCTCAACTGGCACTGGTGGAGAGCAATGAGAATACCGATGTTCATAAATAGGGTTAAAAAATCCACTGGTGTCACAACTGTTAGTTGAACATCCCTTCCCCACAACATCTCCATCTTCCTTGTAATGTATAATCCCCTTCATCTTTTGAGGTTGATTTGGCAGTGAGTCACTCATAGCAGTAACCACAGCTTCCCATGGAATCACCAGCTGTTATCCAGAGCTAGAGTGTGCATAATATGTTAACAATGAGAAAAAGAAGATTAAACAAGGAGAGAGACAAATGCTTCCAGTTACCTGAATTTCCGCACTACCAGCTCTTTGTCTCAAGGGTCTTGTTAGGATACCTATAAGATTTGCATGTTCACCAAAAACAGGAGCACCTTCCATTCCTGCACATGGAATAATCAAAATGGTACAAGAATATAGTTGCAAGAAAGGAATTTAATGGTGATGCAACTAAAAAAAATAATCTTACCAGGAAGGCACCGAATGTCAGCCATCAGCAATGAGCTATTATATGTATTGGGTGGATAGCAGTTTGCAACAGATCCTGCAGATATGCTGATTCAAGGACAAAAAAGGGATCAATTACCAAGAATCAATGGTCAGAGAATAAAAGGTCAGATACAGAATGATAAAAGGAAAGCCCCTGAATAAAGTTAAGGCTGTAAAGTCTTGATGAGACATCAGACCAAGATTCAAGATTGTCGATAAATTAAATACTACTCCGTGAAGCATATCAGCAAGTCTATTCTATTCCAAAATAATTCAGAACTTTAAAACTTGGAACCATATCTGGAGGTTAATGTTGGACACACTGGATGGACTGATTTCAGAAGAACATGTATATTAGAGTGGTATCTCAGTTTGTTCCTATCATCCTATGCTGCACAAACCCCACATTCCACAATGGAAGGCAATAATGGCCCTACCCAACAAAAAACCCAATGCTGTTACCCAATTAGGCATCCTGACACACAAATACTCCACTCATGAATAGTCCATGAGTATGAGATTCCCTTCAAAGAGCAGAGTACATGGGTAAGAACTAGAAGTAGAGGCACCTTTACGAATGCATGATTCATATTGGTTTCATAATTCCAAAGGGAATATTGTTCATGTAATTTGAATTCACTATTTCCAAACTGAAACCAAGCTGTTTTCTGGGTACAAAAAGAAGAGGAGAAGAAGCAGAGAAAGGAAGAGAGAGGAAGAAGAGAAGAGATGAAGAGAGCAACAGAAATTGGAGAGGCAAAAAGTTCTGCTGGCGGTGCCAGCTTTTTCTTATATATTAGGGCAACACACTAATTACATAATAAAGAGTAAAAGGACCACAGTACCCCTATGACCCATAATACATTAAAAAAAAAAAAAACTGTTTTAACACTCCCCCTCAAGTTGGGACATAGATGTCAATCATGCCCAACTTGTCACACAAGTTATTGTGCCACAGATGATGAAGGCCCTTTGTGAAGATATATGCAAGTTGTTCTTCAAAGCTAACAGATGGAGTACACACTTCTCCACTTATGATTTTCTCCCTGATGAAATGCTTGTCAACCTCAATATGTTTAGTTATATCATGGAGAATAGGATTGGCTGGAATGTCAATAGCAGCCTTATTGTCACAACAAAGTGACATGGGATTATCTTCACCTAACAAGCTTTTTATCCACAAAGCCTCAGCAACTCCATGGGACATAGCTCTATACTCCACTTCCACAATGGACCTAGCCACCACATTTTGTTTTTTGCTTCTCCATGTGACTAAGTTTCCTCTTACAAAAGTGCAATATCCACTTGTAGACTTTCTGTTATCTACTGCCCTTCCCAGTCAGCATCTGTGTACACCTCAACTTTTAAATGCTCGTGTTTCTGGAACAACAAACCAGCACCTAGGAACTTTTTTAGGTATCTAAGAATCCTCTCAGCAGCCTCAAGATGTATAGTTTTGGGATTATGCATAAATTGACTGAAAACACTCACAACATAAGCAATGTCGAGTCTGGTCATGGACAAATATAAGAACCTGCCAACAAGTCTTTGGAATTGCTTTACATCTTTTATAGGTTCTCCTTGACTGTCACCCAACCTGTGATTTTGATCAATAGGTGAATCAACTGGCTTCACTCCTAACTTCCCAATGTCCTCCAATAGATCAAGAACATATTTCCTTTGAGAGATGAATATTCCCCTTTTGGAACGAGCAATTTCAATTCCAAGGAAATAGTGCAAGGGACCTAGATCTTTCACCTCAAATCGTGTGGCTAAGAACTCTTTCAATTTTTGTATTTCTACTGTCCAGTCACCAGTAACTACTATGTCATCAATATACACAATCAGGGCTACAATTTTTCCTTCACCTTTCTTCACAAACAATGGGTGGTCTAACTGACATTGTTTAAACCCCATTTGTTGAACCGCTAAATGAAACTTGCTAAAACAAGCCCACGGTGGTTTGACTGCTTTATCCCATACAAAGATTTCTTCAACCTGCATACCTTCTGCTCACTACCTTTTGCACAAAAGCATGGGGGTTGAATCATGCATACTTCTTCTAAATCACCATTCAGGAAAGCATTTTTTATGTTTAGTTTATGAAGGTCCCAATCAAAATTAGCCGCCAAAGATAGAAGGACTTTAATGGAATTCATCTTGGCAATAGGCGCAAAAGTCTCTGCATAGTCCACATCGTATACTTGAGTAAACCCTTTTGCTACCAATCTAGCCTTGTACCTTTCAACTGTACCATCAGCCCTATGTTTGGAAACCCACTTACACCCCACTGGTTCTTTTCCTCTAGGAAGATCTACCAACTCCCAAGTGCCATTTTTATGTAAGGCACCAATTTCTTCCTTCATTGCATCTGTCCATTCAGGTATAGATAAGGCTTCTGCCACATTCTTAGGGATAGAAACACTGTCAATGGAGGTAAGAAAGCACGAAAGGAGGGTGAAACATGACCATAGGAAACAAAATGGGAGATAGGATTTTTAGTAGTACAAGATCTAACACCTTTTCTCTTAGCAATAGGAACATCCAAATTATTAATAGAAGAATCATCAACATCGATAGGATCAAACATATCAATAGGAACGGAATACCTGAGTGAGGAAGATCTGCCTCTGGAGAGTTTGATGGTATTGGTGGCATAGCTTCAGGTTTTTCTATAGTTGTTGAACTTTGTTGGCCCTTATTATGGAGGAAGAAGACACGGAATGAAGGAGGATCAGGAAAAGGAGGGAGCTGAACTTGTGCTTGAGCACGTTTCTCCTCCACCCTACTCTCCCCCTAAGGAGAAACAGGGAAAAAAGGAATGCTCTCAAAAAAAGAGGCATCCATGGAAAACATAATACTTATGAGAAACCGGATCAAAGCACCGATAGTCCTTTTGAGAGGAAGGATAGACCAAGAAGACACATGGGATAGCACGGGGGTCAAATTTACCACGAGTAGGAGACAAATTATGGACAAAGCGTCGACAACCAAAAACACGCATAGGAATGGAGAACCAAGGAGCCTTGGGAAACAACAACTGATGTGGAGCCTTGTACCCTAACATCCGAGATGGCATACAGTTGATAATATATGCAACACATTAGAGAGAGTGAGGCCAAATGGAAGAGAGATGGTTCCTTGACCAACAATGGTAGAGAGGGACCCATTAGCTAGTCTCACCTTGTCTCTCCCAGAGAGGAGGTTATATGTTTGAAACAAATTGGACTTGTCATGTGGTTTGAGGCTCCAGAGTCAATGATCCAAGGAGACTCAGATGAGTGAGATGACACATGCAAATGAGGTAGATGGTGTAGGACCCGAGTCCATCTGACGAAGTGTCCTACCATACAGTTCCAAATGATCATAGAAGGAATTGATAATCTCTTCCTTCGGATCAAAAACAATAAGGCGATCCTGAAGTACAATGGGGGATGAAGTCTCTTGAGTTGCCACATTTGCTGAATTGTACTTCTTTTGGCTTTGCTGGATTGGCTTCTTATTTTGATCAGTTGATTTTTTGCTCAACTCTAGAGCCCACTTCGGCTTCCCATGAAGACTCCAACAGGTCTCTCTAGTGTGCCTAGGCCACTAACAGTGAGTACACCACAGTTTATCCTTATCCTCCACCCTTTTTTGGGAATCACCCTTCTTAAAAAGGTTGTCGCCATTCACATTAGTACCACCCCTAGCTATCAAAGCAACTGGCTCCCCCTCAGAACTATTCATCACATTTCTTCTACTTTCTTCTAACTGCACTAAAGCATAAACTTCTTAGACTGAAGGGAGGTCTTTACTTCCAAGGATTTGAACACTAATAGATTCATACATAGGGTTCAGTCCCAATAGAAAAGCAAACACCCTCTGTTGGGAGACTAGAGTCTTGTAGGCTTTGACATCATCTTCACATTTCCAATTCATATTCTAGTAGTGATCCAGCTCAATCCAAATTGAAGTCAGATCTGAGTAGTATATGGAAAGACTTCTTTCCCCTTGCTTACATGTAGTAGACGCAACTTACAGTTGATATATTTTCGCATAGTGTCTCTGTTCTGAATATGTTGTTTTTGCTTGTTCCCAAATTTCAACAACAGTCTCAGCCCACATAAAATTTCTCCTTACTTGTGGGAGCATAGATACAAGTAACCACGGCATTACCACACTATTTTCTTGGTTCCATTTGTCGTGTTCAGCATTCCCAGATCTTGGTTCTTTAATTTTCCCATTGATATACCCTCTTTTTCCCCTTGCTGTAATGTAAAGCTTAATTCCTCTCAACCACTCCAAATAATTGAGGCCATCTAATGGAACAACAGCCATGGGGAAGGGCAAGTCAACACTCCCACCTAGTTCACTATGGCTGGAAGACATACCCGAGGTGGCTGTCTCCTCAGAGGTCATGGAAAAAAAAAATAGCTGGAAAACACTTCCAACTACAGACCAGATGTCTCAAACACACAAATATAGGTTCTGGTATAGGATAGCACTGAGGAAAACCTTTATCAGAAAAGATTCACACATTTGACAGCAATCCAACACCAATATGGCCAGAAAAGAAAAAAAAAAAAGTGCAGCCACAGTGCTAGGTTATTCACCAAATCGACGCAGTACAAAGGAACAAGTCCTTCAATCACAATCATTCATTCAAAAAAAAGGTCACACAATGACCACAGCCACCAAACAGGACTTACCTCTGCTGTTGCAGTCATCACCAATCATTCTTGACCAGTAAACATCACCCATCTGGGTACAGGAAGGATCACACAATCCAAACAGGTGTCAAACACCACTAAAAAACTTCACAGCATTCTGTCACCACGAGCAAACAGCTCTGTCTTGGCACACCGCTAAGAGAAAAAAAAAACAAAAAGAGGTAGAAATTCCTTTCAGATTAGTCTAGTGTGATTTTTCCTTTGAACAATCTAGAAAACCAGCAATGGAGGAAGAAAAACAAGGTTCGATCTGTCTTCAGGCCCACAGAACCTGCTCTGATACCATGTTTTCTGGGTAGAAAAGGAAGAAAAAAGAGGATAAGAAGCAAAGAAAGGAAGAGAGGAAGAAGAGAAGATATGAAGAGAGAAACAAAAATTGGAGAGGCAAAAAGTTCTGCTGGCAGTGCCAGCTTTTTCTTATATATTAGGGCAACACACTAATTACATAATAAAGAGTAAAAGGACCACAGTAGCCCTGCGGTCCATAATACATAAAAAAAATAAAAAAACCTGTTTTAACACAAGCCATAGAAGAAAATCTGAGAAGTGTCTTATCTTCTCTCTTCTTTGTGAAATTCAAAATACTTGGACAAAAATATGAGACTTAATGAGCAATTCCTCCCACAAAGCAAGGTATCAATATTTCTTACAGAAGAGTTTATCTCTGCTAAATGTTCAATAGCAAAACTGACCAATACCACGATGGACTAGTATGTGCTGGCAACCATGATGCTTAAAACGAAACAAGGTGAACATAATAAATAAAAAAGAAGAGAAAGCAAAAACCAAAAGGGAGGGAAAAGGACAACCCCTACAAAAAGCAGAAACAGCACTCCTCAAATGTGCCAAAAGCATTTCCATCAACCAACTAAAGTAAACCTACCCTGATACTATCAACAACACCCACCTAAGACCCCATTCATCAAAAAAATACACCCACCTAAGACCAAATTGTGCCAACAGCAGTCCTCAAATGTGCCAAAAGCATTTCCATCAACCAACTAAAGTAAATAATCCAATACCATTAACAACACCCACTTAAGACTCAACACCCCCCCCCCACCCCAAAGACACCAAAAAGAAGAAGAAAAGCTCCTGAACCTGGGAAACACAGCACAGACTGGATTGCTTCTGTGAGAAGGCAAGACCTAGAAAGTCTACCCACCAACCAGACATGCACCCAAAGTTCACTATTACTAGTCATGTCTTAGTGCGCCAATAAAGATTAATTAACCAAACACATCAATAGTTGATATAACTAATGAACACCCAAAATATATACTATATGTTTTATAGAGACAGACAGCTAGGTAATAATTCCTGTCTGGAAGTACTAATCAACATATAAAGACACAACGGCAATACCTATTCAAGAAATGAACCGGTGATAGGATCCCAAAAGGAGAGCCCATTGCCAGAAGAAGATCCCCCCTCTTACTTGGTGGTGATATAACCATATTTGGCAAATCCTGAATAACCAATATCTACCTTGTCATGCTGATGAGCATATAATTGAATCTAAAAGGCATGAAGGAAAATATAGAATAGATAACTAAGCACCAAAAAACAGCAAAATAAATTTGGTAATACCATGTTTATACAGCTAAGAAGATAGTAAACTAAGATAGATAAGAGCATCTTACCTCAGATGTTATTGAGTGAACTCCAAGAAAAGCAATTCTAGTGGCTGAGGTGGCCATACGAGTTGGATTTCTTAATTCTCGCAATCCAAGAGCCTCAAATGAGGATCCAATATCATGCTTGACCTGGATCAGTGAAAATTTGATTTACAGGATACAAGAAACATCAGAGAAGAATTACCATTTTCATAAAAAAACACGCATCCACCATAACTTCCAATATTCATTATATAGATGAAAGCAATGCTGAATCAAGTATACCGAGTTCTATATTTCCAAGTTGCCATGAAGACTGATGTTTTTGTCTTAAGATCCAAGATAGATTACATGTAGCATACCTAACATCTAGTCAAGGAAAGAAAGCTATTAGAATTTGATTGGAGTAATATCATGATTCATGGCATACAGTACATTGATCCTTAATGCATTACCTCATCTCTCAAGGACTCGTTTGATTCATTCAATCTTCAGAACAATATTCAATATAATGAAATCAAATGGTATTAAAGTAAATCAACAATATGACTAGTTACTTGGTTAGTTTATCAACAATATGATTAGATTGCGATGTTAAGTGGTCAAAAAGTTAATACTCGATCTTCAAAACACCTTCAAGAACTGACTGCTTTCTATCTCTTAATCTCTTGTCCCTTTGTTTGTTGTATTTGGAATGGTTCTTTTCCCTTATTGGTTTTAGGTGGAATCCTCCTGCATGCTTGGAAAGGTTGCTTAGCCCTTTTGTGTTGAGGTGCATATCTAGGAAAGGCAGGATTCTATGGAGGTGCACTCGGGCAGCGGTGATTTGGACAGTATGGGGAGAAAGAAACTCAAGAGCTTTTGAGTAGGAGAGGAGCAAGGAGGCATTCATAGAAATCATAACGCTAAGAGTAGCTTTTTGGGTGAAGCTGAAGACCTTGAAGTTATTCTCTGACTTTAAGGTGGAAGATTTCTTTAGGAATTGGGGGCCAATATCTGGGTCCTCCTCTAGGAAACAAAAACCACTTGAAGTTTGGCCTCCCCCAGTGTTTTAAAAGGCATAGGAGGCATATGCCTAGAGGCACCCCCAAAACGCCCTGAGGCATATGTCAAAGGTACTGATACCTCTAAGGCGTACACCTAATACACCTTTTTCATGAGGTGTGCACGAGGTGCATGCCTCGTGCACCCGCACACCTCATACAAAAAGACAAAAAAAAATGAAAGAAAAAAGAAAGGAAAGGAATGGAAAGGAAAAGAAAGGAAAGGGAGGGAAATATAAGGGGAAAGAAAGTGGGTCAGGGGCAAAGCCCCCCAGCCTCTTTTCAGTGCAGGTCAATTTGGTTGTTTTGTGCTAGGGGGTCTTGCTCCACTCCAGCTCGCTAGCTTTGCTCACTCGCCTCAGCTTTGACAACACCCCCCTTTCAGTTAGTGTTATGCATCTTTATTCTTCTTAATATAAAAGATTTTATTAAAAAGAAAGAAAAATAAGATCCTCCTTCTTCTTCCTCCTCATCTCCCTCCTCTTAAGGAGGCTTACACCTCCTTGTGTTCAGGAGGCTTACACCTCTTATGTTCTGAACTACACCTCATGCCTCCAAGTAGTGGAACACCTCGCATCACGCTCTGTGTTTTAAAACATTGGTCTCCCCCAATAGGTGGGTGGTTGAAATTGAACTTTGATGGTAGTAGTCTGGACAATCCAGGTCCTTCAGGAATTTGAGGGGTGATAAGAGACGAGGGTGGTATTAATTTTATATGTGCTTTGTATTCAGGCCCAATTGAGAAAACTGGTTCTGTTAGTGCAGAATTCTTTGCTGCAGTATTTGGGGTAAAGATGGCTAAAGATGAGAATTGGGAGGTTGGTTCTTGAAGGTAATTTGAAGCTGGTAGTGGGGTGGTTCAAGAAAGGTGAAGGGGTGATTTGGAAGCTTAGAAATGAATTTAGGTGCTTCAAATGGCTATCAAAAGATATGACAATTCAAATCAAGTGGGTTAGGATGTCTGTTAATAGTTTGGCAGATAGCTTAGCTAAACAAGGGGTTCAAAGAAAACATATGTACTGGGCTCAATTGTAATATAGTTGGTAATACAGCTGGCTGGGCCTGTTTGTATTGGTTTTGACAGTTTTTTTCACAACTTCTTGTTGTACTCTTTTCTTTTTTTTTAAGTTAATGAATGAATGAATTTCTGTGTTGCTGATAAAAAAAGAGGAAAAAGACATATGAGGAGTCAATTTGGTATTTAGTTAACTTATGCCCTTACCAACCAACAAGTGGCTGTTTCTGAAAATTGGTAAACCAATCTGTCTAGGCCAATTAGTCAATTAGATTGTGGTAATTAGTTCTCATTTTTCCACTTTAAGGGAAGGCTCTCCTCATCTCCAAGTAATTGTTTTCTATTTCACAAGGCTTAAGAAAGTTAGCTCCTTGAATCATGGATCAAAAACTAAAGTAATACAAGCAATGAGACTCTTAAAGATTATGCTGTGAGGATAATTAGCAATCAGTAAACCTAACTGGATCAAACCTGTTTTTGAAGGGCGTCCACAATAGCTTCAGAATCACCATTTGAAAATGCCAAGGACCAACCAACTTCCCATGAATTATTCTCAGGTGAGCCAGTAGGAGCTTCAATTAGTGACTGGAGAGCAAGGGAAGATGCAGGGACACCAATCTATACAAAACACATTTCAATGATTGAGTTATACCTCAATAATTTAAGCCATGCAATGATCTTTTTTCTTGGATAGGTAAAGCATGTTGTTACATATTAATATCGAAAGCATGGAAGGGAAAAGTCCTATTTACATGAAAATACAAATATAAGCACTGTGGCTCATCTGCAGCATATACAACTGAACCTTATAAGACTAAAAATAATAATATATGCCCCCACTCGTTATAGAAGTATGAAAATTTCAAACCATCAATACAGAGCAATATGGCCAGTCTAACAAGTTCAGAAACAACTGGAGAGCATAGCTGGAGATAGATGCATCCATCAAAGAGATATTATAGATTATCAATCACAGCCATACAAATTACAAACACATAAGTGCGATAACCACCAACTCTTCACTTAAAGTAAAAACAGTAATTTTCTAAAACATACAAATACAGTTTTTCCATAACAATCTTGTTGTAATTAGAGTACCAACACTACCTGAGCCCTTGATGAGTTGGATTAACATAACCTCTCTACCAATCTTGCTAAGGATTTAGTGGTATTCTCATAATAACCATACCAGAACTTAACACTTGAAAGTTGCTAAATTAAGTTAAGAAATTATTCTTGATAAGAAACATCAAATTTTACAGTTACAGTGGGTCTTCACCAGGGCTTAGCACTTAGTCCTTGTGTATCTATGCTCGTCGTGGATGAATTGATTAAACACATTCAGGATGAGGTCCCATGGTGCTTGTTGTTTGTTGATGACATAGAATTGATTGATGAAACCAATGAAGGATTAAATGCAAAATTAGGTTTATAGACAACTACCTTTGAAACAAGAGTCTTTAAATAAGACTAAAACAGAATATGTGCATAGGAGTGCAAATCAGGGAACACTTAAGATTGGAGGCCATGAGATAACTCAATGTGATCTCTTCCTTTACTTTGATTCAATAACTCATAACAAGGGAGAGATTGAGGAGGATGTCGCCCATAGAATTAGAACAGGATGGGCAAATACCAAATAGGCTAAATAGAGTTCTATAAAACAGTTCTATGGCTGCATGTTGCATGGAGTAGAGTGTTGGGTAGTCAATAAACAACATGTCCAAAAAAATAAGTGTGACAGAATGTCAATACTGAGATTAATGAGTGGAAAAACTAAAAAGAACATGACCAGAAATGAAGTCATTTGAAAGAACCTATGGAAGATGGAGATGGTTTAGCCATGTACATAGAAGACCATCTACAGCACCCATAAGAAGTGATCCATTACAAGATCATGGGGTAGAAGAAATAGGGGCAAACCAAAAAGGACATTGATTGAAGTAGTAAGAAATGATTTTAAGCACTCATAATTTAACAATGGATATGGCATTGAATGGAACAGAATGGTGAAACATAAATTTAGGTTTTGAGGCTCTAAACAATGTATTCAATCCTTCCCTGACATTCATATTAAAATGTTCCACTAACTACTAAGGTATGAATTTTACATGGGAACTTTCTAAAGTGCATTATGTGTTTCTAGTATGCACTGGGCCCAATCCAGCAGTTTTGGGCAGCTCAAGCGGGGCCCATGGAGATTCTCTCAATCAAAGATTTGGTTTGATAACAAATCTGATGAAATCTGTACTATATGCCGCAGAAGGGCATTTTTGTCTTTTCCTCCTTTTTATTTTGTCTTGTTCGCCCTAACATATAAATAGCAATGCTGGGCACCGGCAGCAGGAATTCTTTTTGGCTCTCACGTCATTCTTCTTCTTCTTCTTCTTCTCTATCGACTGAGTGTTCTGTGATTTCTGGACTGAGAACAAAGGAAGCACACTGATGTTCTGGACCTCAGAACTGTTCAACTGCATCTCCTTTGTCTGTTCTGGGCTTAAACTCAACTGAAGCGATTCCAGGAGTTGTTGATGATTGGACTGATCAGGGACCGGCAGCAGGAATTCTCTCGGACTGATCAGGGACACTTTGTAAAATTTTTTTTGGTTCTTGGTGCTAATACCAAGAACAGGTTAAGGTTCTTTTGCCTTTGACCGAATGATATAAGGTGGGTTTAATCCCTTTGTGGGTCGGATGATCCAGAAAACCCTTTTTTCCTTGTGAAGAAATCTGTAGGTCATGAGTGACCTGGTTCGGCTGACTGGTACAGCAGCTGTTTACTGATGTTTGTGGCTAATATTAGCCTTGGAGGATCTGTTACACCTGTGAGAATGTTCAGGTAACCAGTATCGCAGCAGAAGTTGGTTCTTTGATTGTTATTTACTCAAAGTGAGGGCTGTGTCTTCTCTTGTGGTGTGTATAGACTGAAACCATGAACGCTGAAGAGTCTGCAACTTCGGGAACCACCATGAATCACAGAGGAATGAGTAGTGGTCTTTTTTTTTATAAGAAACGGTAACTTTCATTAAAGATAAAAAGGAGAATACAGATATCACCACCCAAAGGATGGGTGGAAAAACAGAATAAAAGTCTTACAATCAAGCCCAAAGCAGTCTCCTTAAAGAAAAAATGTACATAGGAGATGTACACAGAAATTACAACTCAGAAATTAAGTAGGGAAAGAACTATCACTAAATAAGACATCCCTGTGAACACCAGCTTTTGCTAGACCATCCGCTTCAGTGTTTAGCTCCCTGGGGATCTAACCCAGCTGTACATTTAGGTTGAGAAGGATATCCCTTGCTTCAGTCAAAAAACGTGCTACAACCCATGGCCCACTGCCATGGTCAGCTAGCCACCTGATTGTATTTTCTGAATCTCCTTTTATGGTGATGTTCTGAAAACCCAGATATCTTGCTATCCTGATTCCAGTTAGAGCAGCCATAATTTCAGCCTTTGTTGAAGAGGCTATCCCTATTGGTCCACCGAAAGCCCAAATAACTGTACCATCTCTTCTTCTGAAAATTCCACCAATTCCTGCTGCGCCTGGGTTTCCAAATGCACTTCCATCAAAATACAAGGTTATCTCCCCTCCCGTCACAGAAGAATGTGGGGTAGGGAGGATTAAGGATTGGTGTTTGGAGAACAGAAATTCTGCAGCATTTCTTTGGAGGTCAGAAAATGGAACCCCTTTAAAGTACTCTGAGCTGGAGGTCCAAACGAAGATTCTATGGGAGATGATAGACAAAAGCTCCTCGAAGTTCCTTTCTCTATTGTTGAAGATTCAGTTGTTTCTTTCTTCCCAAATGCTCCATAGGATGGCATGTACTACGGAAATCCAAACGATCCTTCCTCTTTTGCTTAACCTTCTTGCTGTCCATTGTCTGAGACAGTCTATCAAATTTTCAGGGAAAGCCCAACTAAAATTAAATAAGTTGAGGAAGAAACTCCAGAATTTTCTGGTTTCCTCACAGTGTATCAGAATGTGATTGGCTGATTCCCCGGCTTTTAAACACACACAGCAAGCATGAGGGGATAAACAGGACCTTCCTTGGTTCTTTTTCTGGAGAAGATCCAAAGTGTTGATCTTCTTCAGACTGGCTTCCCACGTAAAAAAGCACTCTGGAGGGAATGTATGTGCACCAAACTGTCTTAAACGGGAAAATATCAGATACCTGATCTTTCTTGATTAGAGCCCTGAAGAAAGATTTGGTTGAGAACTTACCAGTTGGGTGTAGGGTCCAGACTCGAGTGTCGGGTGTTTGGGGAAAGATACACCTCTAAAGAATCTAGATATTTCCTCAAGTTCATTTTCTCTCAGAGGTCTTCTAAAGTCTAGGTTCCAGTTGAACTGGGAGAGATGAGAGGATAGGACAAGGGAGATGGGAGCTTCTTTGTTTCAGGTAAAGCTATAGAGACGAGGAAAGGATTCAGCCAAGGTAGAGTGACCCGACCAAACATCAGTCCAGAATTTTATTTTATCCCCATTTCCCACTTTGTACCTGATAAAGGAAATGAAATTTTAGTAGGTTGAGAGTATACCTTTCCAAGGGTTTATGTCCTTGATCCGGTTCAAGTGCAGCCTGCAATCCCAACCGTTTGCATGTTTCCCGTACTTGCTGCTGATGATCTCAGTCCAAAGGGCATCCGGTTCCTGAGGGAATCCCCACAGCCATTTACTCAAAGGAGTTGTGTTTTTTTCTCTCAAATGACCCATTCCCAAACCACCACCCTCCTTAGAGTTGCACACCTGGGACCAATTCACAAGATGGGATCCCTTTTCCCCACTTCCCTCCCACAGAAAATTTCTTTGAAGTCTTTCCAGCTGATTGACAAATTTGGTTGGCATTCTAAAGGATGAGAGATAGTATGTGGGCAAATTTGCCAAAGAGGCTTTGATGGATGGTAGTGGTCATGACTCCATGAATTTCCCAATGACTATCACCCCGTTGAATGGTAGGAATTACCTGGCTTGGTCTAAGGAGATGCGGCTGTATATCACAGCCAGGGGTAAGGCAGGATATATTAATGGGAAAATAAAGGAACCTAGGGCTGGTACTACAGAATACGATAAGTGGGACCAAGAAAATTGCATGATTATGTCCTGGCTTTTGACATCCATGCTACCATCTATCAAACAGAATTTTATGTGGGCCGAGATAGCAAAAGAAACATGGGACCAAGCACAAGCAACTTACTCAAAGTAGAGGCATTATGCTAGAATTTACTAGCTACAAGCGGAATCTTCGACATGTAAACAGGGAGAAAGGAACCTATCGACATAGTATTCTGCCCTCACTTCAGTTTGGAAAGAACTTGACTATTACTAGAACATTGAGTGGGAAAGCGAAAAGGATGCTAAAGCATATAAAAAGTTAGTTTCACAACAAAGGGTGTTCGCTTTCCTTCTAGGTTTGAATCCCATGTATGAACCTATTCATGTTCAGATTTTGGGCAGCAAGGATTTTCCGTCTGTCCAAGGGGTTTATGCACTTGTTCAGTCTAAAGAGCGTAGGAAGTCTACCATGAATCCTCCTTAGGGGGAGACCCTTGCTGCAAGGGGTAACACCGGGGCACCAAGAAAAGGGGAAAATCAAAAAAAGACAGATGATAAAGAC